GAGCCATCCTGCCACCTGTTGGCAGCTCAGCTCGGGCCAGGAATCGAACTGCTATTGCTCAGGGCTCAAACTCTTGAGCGAGCTCTTAACCAACTGAACCACTCGGCCAGCCCCAAAAATAATTTTTAAAGTCTTCAGCTTATACTATATTAATTTGCAGTCACATCATTATATTATGCTGGTCCTTCTTAGATTATCAGTCAAATAAAGCCCATCTTATTTTCATACCTATAACCAAGAATTTAAAAGATTACTTAACGTTTTCATTAGCAATAGACCTAAAAGAGAATATAAGAAGTGTTCCAAAACTTCATGGAATCACTCACAGTTATAGAAACTAAAGATGACAAAAAGTTTTCACTGGGGACAAATCTAAAAATTCATAAAGCAAAACAAATGTCTGAACTTCAGATGCAATTCCACACCCCAGCCACCTCCTTTACACCTCTGTCTTCTCAATGTGCAGTTCACTTAAATATTTAGGAGGGTTAGCCAGGCAGGGTAGAGGTAAATTAAGGACCAACGTTTTTGTACAATGTCAAGAGCATTTCAATATCAAGAGGGGCACAAGTGAAATGTTACAAAAAAGGGATTGCATTCAAGGTGCTGTTATCTCAAAGCTCTCCCAATGGGTGGTGCCCTATGCCTCTGGTACCTCCAAAGCATGCCTCTACCTAACACAGCTGCACTCCCAAAGGAACAGCTTTGAATAAACTTCCTGGGAAACTTCCTGGCTGTGGCTGCTATGGCTTTGAAAGGGTTTATGTGTGACATGGGTGAAACCACCATGTTGAATATATGCTGATAGGTCTAGGAACTGAAATGAATTGCTTCCTTAAATGTTTTTATGCTCGGAGAAAAATTCCCCCAAACTAAAATTTACATACACAGACATGTTTTATATGTATTAATATGTGGTGTGTGCATGCGTGTGTATCTCAAATCAGGGTTTCTCAATAGCAGCACTATTGACATTTTTGTGCATTATGGGATGTTGAGCCACATCCGTACCTCTGCCCACTAGAATTGTGACAATCAAAATGTCTCTACCCATTACTAAATGTCCCAAGGGGAGCAAAATTATACCCTCTCCCCAGAACCATTGCTCTAGATGTCTATTTATTTACATATCTATTTTCATACTCTCACCAAAATTTGTGTTTTTACATTTGCATATAAGCAAAGTTGGCTAAAAACCATCTCACACGACAGGAATTTCAGGTAGAACTTGATTCTAGGAAAACCTGGAAAATGTTTACAACCTATAACTAAAACCGGTCAGCACTATAAAGTATTTTCCATCACCCAACAGGTTTCTAAATTCATCCTTTGACGTTTTTTCACATTTCTAAGACACCTACAAGGTTTGAATCTCTAACTATTCAATGCCTCTAAATTATGAATGAAAAATTGTGCCTCAGGGTAGAGATGCATGAAATAAGATTAAGGCTGTGGTTGGCCTGGTGACTGCCTTCTGTTGACAAGTAAGCTTAGCTGTAACCTTGAAATTCATACCTACTATTCAATTCTGCCTCCAGGCCAAGAAAGCCTCCAGATGGACTTGGAAGAAAGAAAACAAAATTAAGTAAGCTGAGAAAACAGTTACTAAGAGTTTTTCATCTCAACATTATATCTTCTTTAGATGTAGAGGGTGATGATAGTGGGTGTGGGTGTGTGTGTGTGTGTGTGTGTGTGTGTGTGTGCAATCCTATACAAGTAAATTGATCTTAAACCAACCTCAAAATTATCTCCTGGAAAACAAACCCCAAAACACAGAGACGCAGAAATAATTTCTTTAAAAAAATTTTTTAATTGAATTTATTTAAACTAAAAACAACAACAAAACCTAAAAGACAGTTCACCTGTTTCTCCCATCCCTAGCAACCACCAATCTATTCTCTATAGCTAAGAACTTGGTTGATTCATTTTTTAGATTCCACATGTAAGAGATCATAAGGTCTTTGTCTGTCTTTCTCTGACTTCTTTCTGGCCTCACCAACAGGCATGAGGCTAACTATTATAATCAGCAGGGCTCCAAAAACTTGCCCCTCCCTAGATTAGAAAGAAACTCTACATGGACAGTATTTCTAACAACGGTAAATGTCTTATCTAAGCCACCTAAATACAGTCTTCTTTCCCAAACCACAGGATCATTATGCTCCTAAGAACCACGGTGGTAGAACAAGCAATGAGGAACAGGACGCCATGTGGCTGAGGGGACAGAGCACAGGTGCTAACACTGTATAGTTCCTTTACTAGCTATGGGATTTTGCCATGTGGTTTGTCACTTATAATCCTTTGCTCCTTGAAAACGTTGGGGATATGCTTCCCCTAAAGTTTCAATGAGATTTTTTAAATTTTCATTTATGTAAATGTTTAAATCTTTTCCGATGTAACAACTCAAGAGCTGTTGACTCTCCGCCTCCCAGAGGTGCAGAGTAAACTTTGAACATTTAAGAACGAAAGCATTTAAGAACTCACTTTAGTTGGCTTGGCATAGCAGAGTGTGTATTTCCTAACCCCTCACCAGCATGCAGGTACAAAACCTGTGACAGAGCAGATGTCATCACTGTTACACACATCCATTCCCTTCCAACAAATCTGGAATACAGTTCTAAGGCTGGGGCTTACGATGTTCCATCTGTTTTTATCAACCTCGAGATTACATTCCAAAAATCTTTTTATCAGATCTTCTCTTGGTTTCACGAAACCTATGGATTCATCAAATTTTCACTGAGCCCTTCCTATGTTAGGAATGGTAAAACAGTGGTAAACAAGTTAGACATAGCTGCTACCTTCAGAAAGCTTACCAACTAGTGGGAAAGACAATTAATTCAGCACAGATTGATGTCATATGAGTGTTACAATAGAAGTGCAACATGCTATGGGGACACATCGCAGGGACATCTTACCTAGTCCAGAGTGTTCCAGCAATGCTTTTCAAAAGAAACGTACTTTAAGTATGGGCCGTGATACTGGATTTGGCTAGAAAGGAGGTGGTGTTCTTTACCGAGGGAAAAACGTGTACAAAGACGACAAGGCCTTCAGGGAAGTAAAACGAGTTCAATGAGGCTAAAGAATAAAACCCAAGGCAGGGAGCAGAGAGAGATGCGTCCGCAGAAGTAGACAGAAAGAAGGCGTGGGAAGTCTGATGGGCCAACTTCAAGTTTCAACTTTATCTCGAAGGCCATGGGAAGCCACTGTGGGAACTTGAATTAAGTGCTGAGGGACCTAACATTTATGCTTCAGGAAAACCAGAGGCTGTGTGAGGGTGTGGAAAATTACTTTCCTCACACCTTCTAAGTTCTTCCAACTGGGCTAATAATCAAATTAACATGAGACAGATTAACAGAATAGGTCCAAAATTTATTACAGATGTACACGCGGAGGTGCCATAGGACTATGAGGCCCTACGGGGCATTGGCAGGTGAGGTTTCCATGCCATTTTGGACAAAGGAGAAGGACGGAAGCAGGGGTCTGGGATTTCAAAGGAAACGTGGGCAATTCACAGATAGCTGAGAAAGAGCAAACGGTGGTAAACACATTCTTGCTGGGCCACACAGAAACAATGGGACACAGAGGGAAGTTCAACAAACAGGCTTGGCTAGATTTCTCCATCTGCCACATTTCGTTTATATTATGATGCGTAGGTGATTGTTCCTTTCCCTTAAACAGGCTTTTCTATCTGAATTCCTTTAGGAGGAATTCAAGAGGAGAGGGTCAAAGGTTTTTCTGAGTCTTTTGTTTCTTACTAACCAGCTTAAAATCAATATCCCAAAAGGTGTATTTGGGATGGCAAAACTTGGGTCCCTCTCAGCTGCATTATGGGGAACAGAGTGGGGGGAAGCAAAATTGAGGGCAGGGACCAGGGAAGAGGCTATTGAGGTAATCCCAGCCCTGGGTCACACTGCTGAGAACACACAGGAATGACCGGATTCAGGAAATGTGTGAAGCCGCAGAGTCAAAGGAGAGGCACCAGGCAACACAGGGTGAGTCCAATCCAGCTCCCTTCCCAGTCCTAGTTTTCTCCCCCCTCCCCCACCCACCCTCATGATTTCAAACGAGGACGATGGGAAGTCCATTCCAACTGACATTCTTCAAGTTAACACGGTGCTGTTTTGGGAGGACATCTTTGTACCTCATTTTGTAAAGACAAAGAAAATTAACTTCTTGCTCTATAAAGTAGGAAGTGTTAAGCCTTACTTTAATTATCAAATGATTTCTTTTATAAAAGGATACTTTTGATTAAACTTTGGGTATTAAATTATGAAAGATAGTCACAGCCAGATGAAGAAATTGCTTCTAAAAACAGCAATGAGCTACTAAGAACTCTTCGCTAAAGAAAGAAAGCTGAGTTCCTACAGGACCACACTGGCGTTGTCACCTTCTGTAGTGTCCAGGTGTGACAGAGGGCAAAGGCAAATTAATGCAGAGAACAACATTCCTGGAGGAGTTCCTGGAATCTTCTCCTCCTTCCTCCTTAGGTTTTTCTGAGCTTTAATATCCAGAGATTGCTGCTCAGTTTTTGGTAGGAGTGAAATAAGTACATCAAATCAAGTCTGATGATCCTGTCCAAGTATTAAGAAAGGACTCCAAGCGACATGACTGCAGGAGTGTTTTTCATCTTCCTCATGCTTGTCAAACAGCCCCACTGTTAACACAGCCCAGAGAAAGGGATAGGATCTGGTTTAGCCCGGAACCGCTGGGAGCCCAATGTTGTGCTGTGCCCATGGCAGACACCACCATCAAATATTGCATTCACCACTATCCACAGTGAGAAGCAAAGCGAGGGGGTCCTCCCTCCTTCATCTTTCCTTAGGTGGATAGCTGATGGTAGTACACGGAAAGACCGTATTTCCCCATGTATAAGACGCACCCAATGTATAAGACGCACCCATGTATAAGACGCACTTTAATATTGGGGACTGAAATTTGAAAAAAAAATGTATTACACAGTTATTGAACTCAAGTTTTATTCATCATAAAATTCATACAACTCATCACCGTCAAAACTCCCAACCATTAGCTTGTCCTCATCTGTGTCTGACAACAAATCAACTGTTTTCATATACTGCCTCGTCCTCAGTTCCATCTATGGCATTTGAAATCTACAACCACTGTATAAGACGCACCCAGTTTTTAGACCCCCAAATTTTTCGGAAAAAGGTGCGTCTTATACATGGGGAAATACGGTCGTCTTGCAAATGGGTCTTTTCAGCCACCAGTTCCTGTATCTGCAATTAGAAGGTATGTCTGCCTAATGAAATGCAACAGTCCACACTCTATTATCACATTTTAACAACATCAGAGTTCCAAAGCTAAGCCAAACTCTTCCATAGCACTATAGAGACTATTTCCTCACAGACCTTTCATTGCTTCAACTAGGAATTATGCACATTCCAAGCACAAAACTCGGCTGACAGGTGTTCTGGATACATCAGTAACTAAAATGGACAGGGCCCCTGCAGTAACAGCCACCAGTCAGGTGGGGAATGAAAAGACAAATACGCAACCAAGTGTATAAATGAAAATTGTCCATAGAGGAAAGCTACAAGGTGTAAGAGCATTAAAGAGCAGGAAGGATGTAACCTAATCTTGGGGGTAGGGAAGGCTTCTCTGGTGAACTGACATTTGAGTTGAGATCGAAAGAATGATTAGGAATTAACTAAGCAAAGAAAGTTACAGGGAGAGCAAGAGTCTGTCCAGACAGAGAAAGCAGCACATAGGAAGGCCCAGAGTTTGAGTGGATCCTAGGGTATCTGAGGCCCTGATAGGAAGCCGGTTTGGCTGCAGCTCAGAATGCAAGGGGAAAATGTTTCAGGATTTGTGAGACAGGCACAGGTCAGGCCATGCAGGGCCCTGTTAACCATGTTGAGGATTCTGATCTTCCTCCTAAAACCAATGGGAGACCATTTTTGGTAAGAGTGTTATAATCAACTATGCCTCCATTTTGAAAAGAACACATCAGCTGCTGAATGGAGAATGGACTGGAGAACAGCAAGAGCGGAGGCTGAGAAACGAGTTAGGAGACTAAGATGGCCGCAGCAGTCCAGGTGAGATATCCAGTAACAGGGCCAAGCTGAGACCAGAGGGGTGGCACTGGAGATAAAGAGGCAAGGACAGATTTGAGTCCTGACTGAAAGGACTTGGGGTGGCCAGTTAGCTCAGTTGGTGAGAGCATGGTACTGATAACACCAAGGTTGCCAGTTTGATCCCCGCATGGGCCACTGTGAGCTGTGCCCTCCTTAAAAGAGTCAACTATGCCATTACAGCATGAAAGCAATGTGTAACCAATAAAAAAATTTAAAAACAAAACAAAACTGACAGGACTTGGTAGAGATGGTGAATGAGGAGATGGGAAATAATAAGGATAACTACACAATGGCATACGTAAGTGGAGGGTACCATTTATTATGAAGGAAAAGAAAAATCTTTAGCTGAAACACACCAGCTCACCTGCTTTTTAAGTGTGACTATAAGCAAGTTACCCTCTCTAAGACTTGATTTCTCCACCTATAAAACATGGAAAACAACCATTCCTAACCTCATGAAAACACTGGACAGGTTAAGTAAAATAAGACAATGCATATAAAGTTTCATCACAGTACTGGCACACAGTAATTACTCCCAATAAATGTCACCAAAGGTTGTGTTTGTTACTATTCAAGATGTCACTCAGACTTCCTATTAAAGAGTGATGTATTAAATACGTATTTCCTTCAGAGCCTCTCAAAAGCCCATTAGATTGCCAGTAAAAGTATTGTTTAAAAGGCACAAATCTACCTGAAAAAAAGGAAAACAAAAGAGAAGAGGTAAGAGTAACAAACTTTCAGAAGGTGGAAAGCAGACGGACAACATGCCATGTGCTGTGTCCCAGCACACCTTAAATGTGGGATCCTAAGCCAGCAGTGGGAAAAGCCAAGAAACAACCTGATTTGTTCAGCAAAATCCCCCATGAGGCTCAGGAATCGGTGACATCAAGTAATTCTGGAACTGAGGTTGAAGGTGGGGGCTAAACAGAGAAGGACAACTTTAAAGTCTGCTGAAAAAGCAGTAAGACCCCACCGCTCCAATATCCTCACCCACCTCCACTCCGCAAAGCAATTGCCCCTATCGTTTGCAGAAAATGAAGAGATTTCCCCCCCCGGCTCTGGAGAAGGTAAAACAAAAAATCTCTGGACTAGGGAACAACAAGCAGAGATGGGGGTGGGGGTACATACTGACAGCAGGTGGTTAAATGAATATTTGCATCTTGAACACTGTCCAGTCTCTTGGCTTCCAGAGTGTTGTCAGCCAGGCCATCAACCTCTATGCAGAAGATGAGAAGGTCTTTCTCTGAGGAATTTATTAGGCCAAAAGGCAAGCCAAAAAGCACTGATATCGAGGGCTGCACAAGACAACCCTGCTAGATTATGGTAACACACATAATAAGCCACCCACAGCTCCTGAGTAAGTGTCTCACTCTTAGTGTGAGTCAAAAGCCTATCTGATCTCTGATATTATGATTATGTTGTGTTAATTTGGTAAAGGTGAGGGTTTTACAGAT